TACAATCTATATAGGGCTGTCACAGATCTAGACCTCAGGTTTATACATATAACAGTACCTACAATCTATATAGGGCTGTCACAGATCTAGACCCAAGGTTTATATATATCACAGTACCTACAATCTATATTAGGACTGTCACAGATCTAGACCTCAGGTTTATACATATAACAGTACCTACATGTACAATCTATATAGGACTGTCACGGATCTAGACCTCAGGTTTATACATATAACAGTACGTATAATGTATATATAGAGATGTCACAGATCTAGACCTAAGGTTTATACATACACATATCTAGACCTATACTTACTACTTTCGTATTGTAGACTGATTCCATCAGGAAGGACATGACTAAATATTCTGTTTCATCAGTAAATCTGATATGTTAAGTATTAATAAAGCAAGCTGTCTGATGAGACACTTACAATTCAATGGGTTGTTAATTAACCTAAATGTTAAAAATATATTTTCTTCATCTGAAATACTGAAATACGAGTGATTTATGATTTGTTTTTTGGTGTTATAACTTATGTTTAGATATCTATTTCAAATACTGACGCATGTAGTTTTGATCATGTATTTCAATAATTGGTAAAAAAACTTTCAGATTGATAATTTTACTGAAAATTCTGTTCTATTTACAACCTTATACGTATATACCTAGCCAGCATATAGAGATTGTGAGATGTAGCGAGCACTAGAGCCAAAAACAGTAAACGTAAGTATCCGGGTATAAATAGTAGTGTAATATTGTGTGATAGTATGAATGTATCATTATGTATAGTAATATGATGTCTTTCATGTTATAGAATTTCTTATAAGTAATAAACCAGTAAACAAAGAACCCAGGAGTTGACTTGTTGTATATATACAGTTGTAATGTTAACTTTGTTTAGTACTTATAAATCCAAGTTGTTCTAAACAACCTGAAAGCACCACTTAAATATTCCAAGACCTGTAGAGTGTTGGAGGCTTGTGATCATTATAGCATTCTTTGGATGTTTGAATCAAGAGAATGAATGTTACGTTAGTTACATGAGGTCAACCAGAAGATACCTGCATGCGTATATACTTGAGTATAATATAATGCTTCTACTAAAAATATTTGTTTTGCTAAAAGGTGTACCACACAAAATATTATCTAAATACATAATAGATTGACATATAGGCATGGCTAGGAATTTATCATGATTGAAAACTAAATTTCACATTGCATATAGATCTTTCTGGTTGTAATAGTGTAGATGCATGGAACCTCAATCTTTCAATGTTATGACCCTTGAAGTAAGTCATCAGGGGAAGGACCTGATCCTGGAGCTAATCCTGGTAGCATGCTCCTGTTCTTTCCTTCATTCCCAGCAAGCATATTTATGGTTTTGGGTCTCAACCATTATAATTACCAAGAGACAACCTGAGCACAAAGAGTCTGTAGGACTAGCATGTACAGGACCTTGGAGTATCCTGGTAGCATGAATGCATTTGTTTCTTTATACCCAGGCCTTGCATGTAGTTACAGGGTGTGTCTCTCAACTGTTGTGTGTTGGAGCGACACAGTGGATAGCGCACATTCTTTTCACCAAGCGGTGAAAAGGTATGAATCAACTGTCTCTGAGTATCCAGGTTCCTCACATGATAGACATCCCCCCTGCAAGCTTCCAATCGGGCCAAGTAATGAACATAACTTAATATAATATACAACATTTATATAGCGCCCTATATAACTTGTAAAATTACTCTAAAGCGCTTTACAACATATGGATAATAGTAATGGTTCTAATTGTGAAAACAAAAAACAAAGGCTTACAATCACTTTTATACATTTAAGCAAGCAATGTGCACATTTAATTTAACAAATAAAAGGGTGGTATTTACACGACATCTTTGCAAAGATTCTGAAATGCAGACGTGAAGAGGTGAGTTTTGGTGTCCCTCTTGAACTTGGCCAGGATATTTGACTTTCTAATAGCAGATGGTAAGCTATTCAACAACGTAGCCAAACCCCTCCCAAAGCATCTGTTTCCGTAGGTCACAGTTCGAGATTTTGGGACACACAATAAAGATTCTGACTCTGGCCGCAGTGATCGCGACAGATGATACAGGGTAACAAGCTCCTGTAGGTACTGAGGTGCTGTTCCATTCAGTGCCTTTTATGTGTACACCAGAATTTTGTACTCGATCTGTATCGTACAGGTAACCAGTGCAGCAAATAAAGCACAGGTGTGATGTGGTCTCTCTTTCGAGTATGAGTAACTAGCCGTGCTGCAGTGTTCTGGACCCTCTGCAGACGATTAGTTAGTTTGTCAGATATACCACAGAGCAGGGCGTTACCATAATCCAACCAAGAGGAAACAAGTGAATGCACCAAAATCTTGCTTGCATCTGCAGTTAGAAACTGCCGAATACAGTCGATGTTCCTGATCTGGTAGTAACAGGATTTGGCAATAGCGTTCACTTGTTTAATTTCTCCATGTTTAGTGAACTATCAAAGTATACCCCTGGAACAGTCTCAATAGTTCTGGCACTGACCTTGAGCTGGAGAGCCATTGTTTGCTGACACTTTGGGGAAAAGACGATTAGTTCCGTCTTTTCCTGATTAAGTTTAAGCATGTTGGCGTTCATCCAGATACAGATTTCTGTCAGACAAGCTTACAGACTTTCTGAGACAGTATTCCAACTGTGGTTTGATGACCATGTAAATTTGTGTGTCATCAGCATAGCAATGATAGCGAAGGCTATGGCGACGACAAATCTCTCCAACCGGTTTGGAGTACATACAACATTTTCGTGGTCCTAACACCGACCTTTGAGGAACCCCGAAATCTGGTACTTTGTCATGTGAGGTGGAAGATCCGATGGCAACACACTGTCGTCGTTCCCTCAGGTAGGACTGTATCCAGCATAGTGCGGTATCAGTCACTCCACACGAGTATTCCAGACGTTTATAAAGTATGCCATGGTCGATGACGTCAAATGAAGCTGACAATCCAGCATGACAAGCACCACTTTGCACTTGTTATCCAATGCAGAAGCTATATCACTATGTACACGTAGGAGGGCCGTCTCAGTGGAGTGTCCCATGCGGTAGGCCGATTGCATGTTGTCATGGAGACTGTTAGCATGGAGCTCGAGATGAACCTCTAAACGCTTGGACACAACCTTCTCCAAAATCAGAAAAGGCAGATTTGAAACTGGGCGGTAGTTTTTCAACTCCTCCTTGTCCATTCCAGGCTTTTTTAACAATGGTCTGACATGTGCCTTCTTGAAACATAATGGAACCTTTGACTCAGCCAATGATTTGTTCATGATTGAGGTAATCAAAGGAAGCGGTGCTTAAAGACATTGCTTTAATAGGTCTGTAGGCAGTGGATCAAGCTCACAGGACTTTGATTGCGAGGTCATGATAATATTGCGCAACTTGTCCTGGGTTGTTGGTGAGAGCTTTACCAATGGTTCCCCATCAAATGCAATGTCAGCAGTCATGACAGAGATGTCAATGACAGCAGAGGTGTTCACTTCGGCAATATTTTTCCTGATTGAGCTGATTTTATTCAGAAAGTAATCACTGAACTTGCTTGCTAAGTCTTTTTCAGAATTACAGCATGGTAGGATAATTTCACCGTTCTGTCCCATTAGGTTTTTGGTGAGTCTAAAAAGCTGTCTTTTATCCTTGCTGCATTCTTCGACTTCTTAATTAATAAGCCTTCTTTGACTGAAAGAGTAGTGAACCAACTAGCCGACATTGCTCTATAAATATGTTGGTGAACGGTTAATTTGGTCCCTCGCCACTGTCTCTCTGCTTTTCTACGGTTCTGTTTTTCTACGCGTACAGGTAGATTAATATAACTTTTTTCATATATATTTGTTGAAAATAAAACAGATGGCCTCATATTTTTTTTATCGTGAATTGAAACTTGAGTTGAAAATAATCTAATCATGGCATGAATATTGAAAATTGAATCATGCATAAAATGTACTGCACCAGCTATAGTTATGACTAAGTGTATAGCATATTCAAGATAAGGGAAGACGACATCGACACAATTACAAGAAGTCACTATTTTTTGTCAATGCCTCCGCCAGGAGTAAAACCCAAGACCATTGGTTTACTAGCTCCTACGCTCTACTGAATGAGCTGAAGAGGAAATGTTCTCTCAATTCCGTGTGTGTAAGATAGAGCTGTCCAGGGTTAGAAAGCTTAAGGGGTGTAGGAAATTTCTATCTTACGACCCATTTCATGTGACATGACGTAACAATGGCTGAACAATGATGTGACGTCACAAATTCCAATGCTGCAATGCGGAAAAGGCGATGTGACGAAATTAAAACCTTTTATGATAAATTTACCGTACACATTAGAAAGATGAGATTAATTTTCTTCTACACAAACTTTGATTGCAAATATGGGGTACGCTAAATCTGGCTGTATGATTCGTTTTTATCTAAAAAGATCAGGGGAAAAGTTAATATTTTCAAAATGGTAGCCAGTTCAAACTCATTTCCATGGTTTCTGAGCTAATTCTGGTAGTTGGAATGAGAGAAAGATACTCTTCCATGCCCAGGAGTATGGGATAGGGAAATTCCACTCCCTGGGTATGAAAGAGTCTTATATATTATTTGCCAAGTCGGTATAGGAAGCTGCTAGTATTTTACCAGGGTGACAATGGGGATAGGCATATTCTTTTGAATTTTTATAATATTTAGTTTACTTGAATAATATAACATTGTATTTAAACAAAATTTCAATTAAGTATTCATTTCTCTCTAATCTGATATATTTATGTGTACAATATATATTTTCCACAAAGACATTAGTTTCAAATTAACATACATATAACATACGCAAGATTACCTGCCAGCATATATTGTAAAGCTTGAACTCCATGGGGAAAATGTTGCTTTGCTAAAAGATTACTTACATTTTCATGGGTCATATGTTTTAGGAGCTTGAGCTCTCTGTATGTCCTCTTTGCATGAATTTTTGACTGGAATGGACGTGCCAATTTCTTAATGGCACATTTTACATTTGTCTGTAAGTTGATAGCAGAGCTGAAAAAACAAAATGATTTTGTTAAAACATAAGAGATTCTTCATGTTGAAAAAATAACAAGAATTATTTCAGCATTAAACAAGAAATCTAAAAAATAGAATTGCCCTGTATTACTCTTACTTCTGTGACTTTCGAACAGGACAAGTTATTAATTATAAGGGGAATCACATCCACATGTCTGACCTATATAGCTATATTGCCTTGACAGAGGGTCAAGGTCACAAATTTGAACAAACTTGATAGCCCTAGCCTTCACTCCAGCATACTACAGGTCAGATATCATGACTCTAAGCCAGTGACTGACAACTGTTCACCTGAAATGCATTTTTTTTTAAATACTTCCAGTATAAATAACAATCTTGTAACATTTTGGGCTCGTGCTGTTGGTAGCCAAAGTAGCCCTTGGCTATTTTATTTTTATTGGCTACATAAATTTCAATGTGACTACTACCCTAAGGTAAATTGTTAGTTTTTTTGATAATTATTTTTAATGATAGTTATTATTTTTTTAACTAAAAAATGGGGAAAGTCATCTATGTCCCAGAAAACGATCTGTCTACTCGCGTGTGTAATTTGGCCGACACTGATTGTGTATTTAAAGTTTGATCAGGGCCGTCACAGATCAGCGTGCGCTGTACGACTAAGAGCTAATGCTTTTGTCTAAGTTTTACAGTCAATTTACAAGCTTCAGATGGCAAAAGGTGTTATAATTCTTGTACAATAATGGACAATGGGGTCGAGTTAATTGGATGACCCATTGACGCTGAGAAAACAGTCTGATAAGCGAGTCACACATAGGTGGTCCCACACACGTACATTTGTCAGCGCCGTAAGCCGATCTCATCACCTTGTTCAAACACTGCATCCAACAAATTTATGGGCTAAGTATATTTTTTGGCCTTTCAGATAACTTCAAATGAGATATCGTATTTGTGTACTATCGTTGTTAGACGTTTTAGAATTTCAAGTGATCGAGAAAATGTATTAACATTGCAGTTATGCAGATTTTAGAACAGCAAACCGTTCAAAATGTCTCCGACGGTTGATTATATTAGGTGCCAATGGTTACTGAAATTCACACATGGCTACTGATTTTGTTAGGTCCACACGTGCACTTATAAAGCTTTTTTTTCTCAAGTTGTCAAAATAGCAATGCACTAAGAATGTTCATGAGGCCAGATAAAAAAATAGATGTGGTTCCTGTAACATGTTGGAAAAATTCAAGCAGGTAGGTGACAAATTTTATTTTCAAAAATAGTGTTATATGGTTTATATATATATATAAGAGCGTCAAATCTTGATTTCAACAGTGCTTCTTTTAAAATTGCATTAAAAAAGTTTAGGGTAATGTTAGGCACAAAAATTAGAGTAGGTAGCTATATATAGGGTTATCGGAAACACCAAACATTTTTTGTTTGGCCTGAAAAGACACATTCCATACCCACTGTTTATTTGTGTCAAACTGACTGTCTTAAACAGTGTAATTAATGTTTCTTGCATTTTTTCCAAAATTCAACATGGATAAACGTTAACGGTGTTGTTATTATTGAAAGTTTTGCTTACATTACGTTTCAGGTTGGCTATTTGCAATTGTAACTAGTCGGACGCTCTACCACTGAGCTAAAAGTAAATTCCCTCTAGCTTGAAGCTAGAAGCGACCTTAATCCTATTAACAATTAAAATCTGCCGCACATTCTTCACATTTTGGATATATATATATATATATATATATATATACTGTACCAACTAGGTCATTATACAGTGTAATTTGAGTAGATTTAAATTTGTATTTGTCATGTTTACAGTTTCTATAATGATCTTTTGACATAGCACATCATAATAACTTTGGAAGATTCATAATTGATTGCAAGCATTCTGTTTATTTCTCTTTAATTTTGTTCTGTACAGGCATTTTAGTGCACCTTGGCAAACTGTTTGTACATATACAGTACAGAAAGTAGGCTAAATATATGAAAGCTGATTCATGACACACAGAAAACTTGGCAAATTTGGAAGCATTATTGAGTGATTAATATGTGCAACTGTGGTTGAAAGTTACCTCCTACATCAGTATGTTTACAAATACACAAATCAGCGATGCAACATTGGCAAATCGCCCACATCCGGTCCGATTTGAGTAAAACAAAAGCATGGTATTAAAGGTCATCTCAGATTATGTTTATCCAACAAGTTTACTACTTCCACCGTTTATTGAGTTATCCATGCGACCCATGCATAAATATACTCACACAACTTGTCCATATGCGCCCGAACCAACAGGAACTAAGCTCGTGTACTTTTTAAGAACGTCCCAAAGTGTTTTGTTCAACTCGATTCTGTGAAACTCTGGCCGAACAGAGCCGCAAGACATCTGTTGGGTCACTTGGGACATACCATCCATTGTGATAAACACAGTTAACAAGTTAATGTGTGGACACCGATCACAAAGAACTCCGCTGCAGAAAAAAAAACAATCACGAAAAATGGTTGGATTCAGTGCAGAACCCAGTTGCTGAAAATTCCACAACGGTAACTTCCGGAATTTTTGTAGCGTGAAGCGTGCAGATGACACTGACTTAAAATAAGGCGCGTTCGATTAGATTCGCTGCATGACATTCCTTTGGTCGCCACTAGAAAATGCTGCTTATGAACCGATTTAAAATAAAGGAAAATATCGAGATATAATATGTGAAATAAATTTTGGTGAAAATAAAATATTTGTCAGTATGATAAATGCTTCATAATGAAGAAACGAGAAGTATAACCATGGGACTATACAACTTTGTTCAGTAAGCCATTAAATGCCGTGGTATGATGATAAATGATAATAATAAGATGTATTATTTTATAATATATATAATACATTTTTTTCTTATTCAATAATCAGTCCATCGTGTCCATAGTATAAATCAAGGTATACATATAGTTCCATAGCAACGCTTTCGCCTTCACGATGGTATCATGAAAACTGATAAAGATTTTGTTTTCTTTATCCTTCGTGTCAGCTGCCATACACATTATACTTATCGGAGTCCTTAATGATAGGATTTTTTTTGGTATTGTTAAGTCGGTTTCTTCAAAATAAGTCACATATCATTAACTCAAACGGGTTTGTAAAAGTTGAGTCTGTATCAATGAAGCATACACGGCTTATTGTGTGTAAATTCCGGCTCTAAGCGTTTGTCAATGTCGAAAGTCCGTGTTATCCTACAAATAACGTTTATTGTTATTATATATTAAAATACGGTTTCGGCAGTGGTAGCTTTTTCATTTTTTTTTCCATTTGTCTCGTAATTTTACAACTAAAAACGTTATCCTTCAGTATGAGTGAACATGCGCACTCATTAGCTAAAAAAACGTTCATATCGATTCACTAAAATAAGTCTTTTTGGTTGGTGGTCTTCCATGGGTCAAAGTCGTTACATACCAAACCATTGTGTAATTTTCATGCATTGTTCAACAGAACTATCGCTCTGAACTAATTAGCGTTCGCTTATATAAAGGCTAAATAAAAAAACACGTTGTAGTCATATTTTGAATTGAGCGATAATTTCCCGACTTCAAACAGCTCAAAAATGGACTTATTGACCATATTGAAGTGATATTTTTTTCCGCTAGAGTAAAACCGGTACGGTACGTAAGCCTGCGTCCTTCATTACTGAATCGTGGGTGATAGGGTTACTCCATATTAGAATGAAGGCCCTGATATTTCTGCGTTCATTTCCACGTTCTCCAACCCGCCGAGTTTCCTCTGGCCCTGAAACCACTGACTTAGACAGTTTGACAGATCTATATCTGGTGTGGGTTCCTCTGGCCCTGACACCAGACTTAGACACTTTGACAGATAGATGTCTGTTGTGGGGTCCTCTGGCCCTGAAACCAGACTTAGAGACTTCGACAGGTAGATGTCTGGTGTGGGGTCCTCTGGCCCTGACACCAGACTTAGACACCTTGACAGATAGATGTCTGTTGTGGGTTTCTCTGGCCCTGACACCAGACTTAGACACCTTGACAGATAGATGTCTGTTGTGGGTTCCTCTGGCCCTGAAACCAGACTTAGAGACTTCGACAGGTAGATGTCTGGTGTGGGGTCCTCTGGCCCTGACACCAGTCTTAGACACTTTGACAGATGTATGTCTGTTGTGGGTTCCTCTGACCCTGACACCAGACTTAGACACTTCGACAGATGGATGTCTGGTGTGGGTGCCTCCGGCCCTGACTCCAGACTTAGACACTTTGACAGATGTATGTCTGTTGTGGGTTCCTCTGACCCTGACACCAGACTTAGACACTTTGACAGTTAGATGCCTGTTGTGGGTTCCTCTGGCCCTGACACCGGACTTAGACACTTTGACAGATAGATGTCTGGTGTGGGGTCCTCTGGCCCTGACACCAGACTTAGACACCTTGACAGATAGATGTCTGTTGTGGGTTTCTCTGGCCCTGACACCAGACTTAGACACTTTGACAGATAGATGTCTGTTGTTGGTTCCTCTGGCCCTGACACCAGTCTTAGACACTTTGATAGATAGATGTCTGTTGTGGGGTCCTCTGGCCCTGAAACCAGACTTAGACACTTTGACAGATAGATGTCTGTTGTGGGTTCCTCTGGCCCTGACACCAGTCTTAGACACTTTGACAGATAGATGTCTGTTGTGGGGTCCTCTGGCCCTGAAACCAGACTTAGACATTTTGACAGATAGATGTCTGGTGTCTGGTGTCAGGGCAAGAGAAAACTTTGGCGAGAGATTCCCCAGATATTACGACCGAACAACCGGATCTTATTTAAATATAAGCTACATTATTTGCATATTCTAAGGTAGCAAAATGATAACCTACAATTGCGATAGGAATCAAAGCATATTATACCCGAGCCTGACTGCACAAACAAAAATATGTAGCGTTCCTACATCTGTTACGTTCCTAATCTTCTTACTAAATATTTTCTTCAATTCATTCTCTGTTTCAAGTCAAGAGGTGATTTCTTAACATAAGTTCATAAAAACATTTTACTGTTAAGGAAATGCTTTAAACAAAGTCAGACTTGTTTTGAGAATGTACTCTTTCTGAAACAGATTAATAGGGGAAAATATAGAAATACTGTTTTGTTTCATTATTTTATCATTTATTTCATGCATCTTATGAATGTATTTGTAGTTTACTTATTTTAAAGAGTTAGTGGCAATAATTAAGGCTCGCGTGCGGGTATACTTTTAACATAGCACACCAGGGCTGCTTTCGTTTATCGCGATCCAAACGGTTGGACCGGCTGGACCGGCTGGACCTGAGTTGTTCGATTATGAAATATGATCGGACCCAGTAATTTGATGCTACTTTCAGGCGAGCCTTGACAAAGCCTTGCAAGACCTGCATATCCTCGAAAATGTTACATTTACAAAACGAACTGGCCCCGCATAAGAGACAGTCCTAACAGATATTTCATTCGAATGCGCCGGAATTAAAACGTTCAAATAATTCCGACGAGAATTTGGAAAATTTGTGTGGGTGGAGTTACACAAATCACGAAATGTAATAATAATATCAGTATTGGTAATAAACGGGGAAATGATGACTCACCATATGGAATATCCTAGTTCTATTTTTACTTGTATCTCGACGTATTAGACGGAAATGAACCTATTGTTCCTTGTTTCACACAGACACTGGCCTAGATAAGCAACAGTATCCAACAGCTGAGCCCGATGTGCCTTCACTGGAGGCTCTTCACTGCAGTGTGGGACCCTAGCAATACTATAACAAGAGGCAAATGGGCCTGAATCACTCACCTGGTATTAATCTTACACTTGATATCTTAAAAGTGGACTAAAATACAGCTACAGGCAAAACACCAGTGTTTGATTCAAAAGAATCAATCAAAAGATTTAAACATCATGATGTGACACATGTGACATTGAAAGTCAAACAATTAGGACATTAAGCTGAACAGACTTTATAGCCTTTCATACCAGCATGTTTTTGGCCAAAACCTTTAGATTATTCAGAAGTTGTTTAAATATTACAACATATTTGACCCCTGTGACCTTGCACAAATGGGTGAAGGTCATTTATTTGAACAAACTTGGCAACCTTTCACCCCAGCATGTTACTGGCCAAATATCATCATCCTGTTCCTTTTGGTTATAAAGAAGAAGTCATTTACAGTTTTCAACAAATTTGACCCCTGTAATTCAAGGTCATTCATTTGAACAAATTTGGTAGCCATTTATTCCAGCATGTTAATGACCAAGTATCCTCACCCTAAGCCTCTTGGTTATTCATAAGAAGTTGGTTAAAGGTTTTAAACATATTTGACCCCTGTGACCTTGAATATCATTCAAGGTCATTCATTTGAACAATTTGGTAGCCCTTCGTCCTAGCATGCTACTGGCTAAATCATCCTAGGCCTTTTGGCTACTGAGAAGAAGCTGTTTTAAGTAAAAAGTTGACGCCGGACAGACGGACGGACGACGGACGCCGCACCATGGCATAAGCTCACTTGCACTCCGGACAGACGAGCTAAAAAATTAAAGGACATTATTTGATAGACGTGCTTTTTTGTTAGGGTAAAAAGGGCAGAGTAGACTAGCGTAAGGTTTGTATCACTTTTCCAAAAATAAGTTGATAAATTTCCAGGGCTAAATTAATTCCATTTTTTGTGCCATCTTCGGATAGAATATTGAGTAGGGGAGATTGGGAAAGTTTAATCCTTCTTATTAAAGTCGTCCTTGGCAGTACGACATTTTTGTTTTAGGTTATGAGTATATACAAATATATACCATTTGGAATAGGAATTCCATGCCTTTCATGAAATAATAACAAAATGGCTAACACGTCTGTATTTGAAGAATATAATTTACCTTTCTCTCTCGCGGAAGATAGGATGGCCGAACGTGCCCCGCTCTGGGGCAAGTTCGGACAGGCAGTCCGGAGTAAGTTCGGCCAACGTTCGATTACGTCATCCGGCATGCGACGTTCGATTTTCCTGTTTAATTCATGACTTGCTATGTGCTGCATGGGCCAAACATGGCCCGGTATCATGGACCAAACTTGTACCGGTATCATGGGCCAAACTTGTCCCGCTATTCCCTACTGACGTGCGGTGTCGACGAGGTCAGAACAACAACTTTTCATAATAACGTCTAGTCCAACTATCAACCATTTTTGAGGGCATGGTTAATTTATAGAAAATTTAAAAAAAAAAAATGTCCAGAACAAAAGTAGGCATTTATTTCAAACACCGTGTTTATAGAACATGCTACCGTTTTGACGAAATACATTGCATACCGGTAATAATGATGTGTATGATACATGCGCGTGTGTTGTAGGCGATATATGTTGATGTATTTTACCTCCTTGCGATACTACGGATACTGATAGCAGGTTAACACCCTAGAGAGTACGGATCTGATGCAGAGGACTACGTCGTATATACTGATAGCGGGTTAACAACCTAGAGAGTACGGATCTGATGCCGAGACCTACGTTGTATATACTGACAGCGGGTTAACACCCTAGAGAGTACGAATCTGATGCCGAGAATTACGTAGTATATACTGACAGCGAGTTAACACCCTAGAGAGTACGGATCTGATGCCGAGGACTACGTA